CAGCCCGCCGAAGGAAGGCGCGAACACGGGGTAAAGGGGAGGGGGGGATGCTTCTTGAAAGGAGGAGGCTCCTTCGAGGGCACTGGCCTTACATCTACAGATGAGGCCCGCGCCTTCTAAGATCGGGAGCGGCAAAGAGGGGGGTGTCCAAGAGGGGGGGGGTGCAAATCATGACCGGCGGCATGTGCGCGGCCCAGCGGGGGGGCCAGGGACGTAATGAAATAAGAAGAGGCGCCACGAAATCTGAGGAAAAATCATGGCCCGCGCCATGAAATCCACCCCCCCCTGGTCATCACCCCCCTCTGTTCCGCTCCCGATCTAAGAAGCAGGGTGCTTCTAAGAGGCCTTCCCCCCTCCCCCGTTGACCCCCTCTGCGCGCGGCTCACCCCTCCTTCCACGACCCGTGGATGTCCGCCACCGTGCTGTGCGGACGGTGGCTGTTGCGTGTGCATCGAACTCCTCATAATCTCCAGCTGCCCCATAATTTCCAGCTGCCCAGCTTGTCACGGAGCGAGAGAGAGAGAGAGAGAGAGAAAACAAAAAATCAACAAATAGAATATAGAATTCCAAATATGAAACAAATACAGAATTACAAATAGAAATACATATAACAAATATAGAATTACAAATTCCATAGATATATACATATAGAATTACAAACACGAAACATCGGCTTTCCCCGATGCATCAAGCCCACCATGCGTCCACTCTTGTCCCGACATCCCTAGGCGTTCAGCACATCGACGCAACCATCCCCCCTGGCCCCCTTCCATATTCCCAGTTGGACGCCCGAGTTATCCGGGGTAACTCGGGTCTGGGGTAACTCGGGTTTGGGTTCCCGAAAAACGAACCCGAGTTAACCCTGACCCGAGTTACCCCTGATGATTCGGGGCTCTGGACGCCCGAAATATCCGGGGTAACTCGGGTCCGGGATAACTCGGGTTCGGACTCCCGAAAAACGAACCCGAGTTAGCCCTGACCCGAGTTACCCCTGATGATTCGGGGCTCTGACCCAGCGCACACCTCCACCCCACCCAACAACGCCATGGTGGATGTGCGATGCGCTGCAAGCGAAACTGAATGAGCAATAACGCTGCCTCGTGAACATTCTGCGAGGCATAGCTTGGCGGCTGGACTTGGGATAACTATGCAGCTATTCACTTCCGGCTTGGATCATTCATCAATGTTCGTCATACTGTTTGGCTGCGGCCGCGTGTCCGCCCTGACCACTGCCTATGCCGCCGAAGACGCAACGGTGTTCATAGACGAACTTCGGTACCACACACATCATATACGAGCCCTTGGCTAGGAACAACCGTCTGACACCAGCATTACGGCAACGCGCTAGCCAATACATTCAAGAGACGTTGCGAACGCAAGTGGATGATGAAGACACGATGGTTGGTGATGGTAGTAGCAGTAACGAGCACGACCATTGCGTGATGTTGGGCACCGCGCAACTCCTGATCTGTACTGTCTAATTGCGTACGCTCTAACACATCTTCCTTCTCCTCTTGGTCCGTGACAACTGTTTTTGTAAGACGGCGGACGTCGGCTCCCTCCCCCTCTTGCATGCTCCCCGTAATGGCGGGTGGCAGACCTCGTTTTGTTAGCCAGCCTCTGAGCGACGGAGCTCACACCGATTGGACAGACGTCATCCTTCTCCTCCTCCTTCTCCTCCTTCTCCGCCTCATCCTCCTGCTCCTCCTCCTCCTCCACATGAGCAAACGGCTACTCTGGGGAAGCAGAACGGACTCTGACTAGGATCGAATCGGCCGCGCTAGCATGCACAACGACGCCATGCAAGCATCTAGCCCCATCAGACTGTTGAAACATCGGAGCCGAATCGGATCGACCCGGCGAAAGGGTCCCAACACCTCAAAACCTCGGCGACGAGGACGACGATGACTAGAAAGGCCGCCCAGATGGGGTCCGACCCCGAACCCTCGGACCCGATTTGGTAGGCCTGAGATGATGGGTTTTATGTCCGGCAACGGTCGTTACCAAGGGTGGGGGTTGCGGCCCAGTGTACTAGTCGTCGGGGCGGGGTTGCGCTTCGCTCGGCGCAGTTCGCGCGCGAGCACCAGCATGTTTGGAGGGGGCCCATGATGCCCCCCCCTCGTGCGATCGTGACCGTTACTGCGGGGGGGGGGCCAGGTACGGTAGGTTCGCGCAGCGTCGGCGCGAGCAAAGGATTTTTGACACCGCGTCGATCATTCAACCTTGAACCGATCGCGGCCCCGATCATTCAATGTTGAATTCTGTCGGGTCCTGCGGCATTACCGTGACACTCAGTGGTTCCGCGCCGTTCTATCAGGCGGAGCTCAAACTCTTGAACGCCTTCGCTAGCGCCGTCGGCGCGCCATCGCCGCACGAACCAAATTACTGGAACGGCCGCTGCGCGCCAGAGAACCCACCAAAACAGCCTCCCTTGCACCCCAAAACCCCGACCTCGACTCGGCTACACGCAAGAGTGGGTAAGAGTGACCTTTGGTGCGCGGCGTCTCGGGGGCCGCGGGGGGACCAAACCCAAGCGCGCCAGACGCTGCTGCCGCATCGCGTTCGGCGATCGGGGGACCCCAGTTGACCCGCACCGAAGGCCACCCCGGCGAAAAGTTGACCCTGACGTGCAGCCGAGCCTTCCGCAACGACCGCTGCACGCCAGAGGATCCACCGAAACATCCTCCCTGGAGCCCCGAAGCCTCGAAGCCTCGACCGCGACGACCAGGAGCGCACGTTTGCATTCGCGGCCATAACGGGCGCTATGGGGGGGAAGGGATGGGGGACGGGAGGGGGCATAACGCAGCGGCCCCCCCCTGTGGTGCTGGACGCACTGCGGCAGAGCCGGGGACGCACTGAGGGAGGGGTTACGATATGGAGAAGGGGAGAGGGGGGGGGCCAGGGTAGGGGGCATAACACGCGTTATGACCCAGAGGGGAAAAAACAGCCTCCCTGGAATAGAGGCCTCCTAGATGGGGTCCGAGTAGATGTGGTCGGAGAATCGCGCCGTCGACGCCAGGGCGAAGAAAATTGAGCTCCACATCGAGCCGCATCGCTGATACATCGGCGATGCGAGGAGATCCTCCAACCTCATCTACTCGGACCCCATATAGGAGGCCTAGATGGAACCTGGAAGCCTCGACCTCGACCGCGTCGACCAAAGTAGAGGAACAAAACACGGCATCAACAAGAACTGTCGGCTCTCCGAGCGGATTTCTTGGATCTGCGCTGGACCCCCCTCCCTGGCGCGCGGAGCGCGCCAGGGGCGGCGCCAGAGGCGTCGCCAGGGGTGTCCCAGCGCGGATCCAAGAAACCCGCGCGGAGCGCCAAAAACATATGTTTATGGCGCTTTATCTTCTTCGACTCCTGGAACCTCGAACCCTCGAACTCGACCGCGACGACCAGGAGAAGCAGGAGGAGGAAGATCGAAGATAAGGATCGAGGAGCAGGGAGGAGGAAGCGGAACGAGGAAGAACGACGAGAAGAAGGAGGAGAAGGAGGAGGCACGACGACGACGACGAGGAGGAGGAGGAGGAGGAGGAGAAGGAGACGGAGAAGGAGGAGGACGACGAGGAGGAGGAGAAAAAGGAGGAGCGAGGAGGAGGAGGAGGAGGAGGAGGAGGAGGAGGAGGAGGAGGAGGAGGAGGAGGAGGACGAGGAGGAGCTCGCCGGCCTCCGCGAAGCCCTGCTGCAGCTCGGGGTTCTGCAGGGCCCGCATCATGCGGTCCTCTGCGCGCCCCGCGGCGGCCGGCGGTCGAGCGGGAGCCCGCTGGGACACATCGGCCCCCCTCGGGGGCGTCCAAGAGGGGGGGCGTCCTCCTCCTCCTCCTCCTCTCCTCTCCTCCTCCTCTCCTCCTCCTCCTCCTCCTCCTCCTCCTCCCCTCCTCCTCCTCCTCTCCCTCCTCCTCCTCCTCCTCTCCTCCTCCTCCTCCTCCTCCTCCTCCTCCTCCTCCCTCCTCCTCCTCCTCCTCCTCCTCCTCCTCCTCCTCCTCCTCCTCCTCCTCCTCCCTCCTCCTCCTCCTCCTCCTCCTCCCTCCTCCCTCCTCCCTCCTCCTCCTCCTCATCCTCCTCCTCTCTTCCTCCTCCTCTCCTCCTCCTCTCCTCCTCCTCTCCTCCTCCCCCTCCTCCTCGCACCCTGCGGAATCTGTCTCGAAGTGTTCGGCCCCCCCTCGCGTATTGTTTTTTGCACTCAAGATGTCGGCGAGTTGGGTTTTCGCTTGTGTTTTTGTTGTTGTTTAATGCTGCTCTCGCTGAGGCGCTGGCCTCATTGTCGGGCTTCCGCTCGTTCCGAATCGTGCTCCCGCTGCAACGCTGGCTTCATTTCCGCGCTTCCGCTAATTCCGAATCATGCTCCCGCTGCACCGCTGGCCTTCTTTCCGCGCTTCCGCTCATTCCAAATCGTGCTCCCGCTGCAGCGCTGGCGTCATTATTTCCAGCGCCATGCCATGGCATGGTGTTCGTTCCGTCCAAATAGGACCCCAAAACTAGAACATGGCCCCCCCGAAGCAACCATCGGAAGTGATTACACATTCGGTGCCGATTCGGTGATTTTTGGGGCCGCAGAAGCCCCCCCACACTTTGGGGCGTCGGGCTACGAGTTGATCCCCAACACCACGCTATGCCGTGTGATGCTATGCCCTATTGCGACACGCGACTGTGCGAATGGAGGAGATCTACGCCACGGTAAGGGATGGGAGGGAAGGGTAGGACGTCAGACCCAGACCCCCGACGTCATGAATTGTTCATGACGTCGACCCCCAGAGGTCCAGACCCATTCCCCGGGACCGGTTTTTCGTCCTGAGTCGTTTTTTGACGGTCCCGAGGGCCGGTAAGGGCCCCCAGAGGCTGAAAAGCATCAAAAAACTCGCGTCGTGATTTTTTCATAACTCGAGGGGGTCTGGGGACATGACGCGAGCGCACCCAGCCTGTCCAAATCCCCCTCCTCCCTCCCCCCTCCCCCCTTGCCTGGGGGGGGGGGCGCCCCGCACGGGCGGCGCCCCTCCCCCCCGCAAGGGCGGCCCCTCCCGCCGCCGGCGCCGTGTGGCTGGCTCTCCTCCTCCTCCTCTCCTCCTCCTCCTCCTCCTCCTCCTCCTCCTCCTCCTCCTCCTCCTCCTCCTCCTCCTCCCCCTCCCCTCCTCCTCCTCCTCCTCCTCCTCCTCCTCTCCTCCTCCTCCTCCTCCTCCTCCTCCTCCTCCCTCCTCCTCCTCCTCCTCCTCCTCTCCTCCTCCTCCTCCCTCCTCCCTCCTCCCTCCTCCTCCTCCTCCTCCTCCTCCTCCTCCTCCCCTCCTCCTCCTCCTCCTCCTCCTCCTCCTCCTCCTCCTCCTCCTCGTCCTCGTCCTCCTCCTCCTCCCCCTCCTCCGGGCGCCCCGAGACCAACACGCCAGGCCTCGGCGGCGAGGTCCGGTGGAAGTCGGGGGGGCGCCGGAGAGGAGGGCGTCCGAGGGGGGGGGAAACGGGGCGCACAGCAATAATCCTGGCCGGCGGCATGTGCGCGGCCCAAGGGGGGGGGGGGGCCAGGGGCGCACTGCACGACGAAGGGGCGCCATGACATCTGGGGAGGCAGCATGGCCCCCGCCGTGATCCCCACCCCCCCCCCCCCCCCCCCTCTTGGCCGACCCCGACCCGGCCTCCCCCCCCACGCCCTGCGGCGCAGGTCCTCTTCGCCGGAGTTTCGCGTCGCCGGGTCCGGTTCGTCTCGGGCTCGGGTGGCAACGAGGGGGGCGACCAAAACTGGAGGGTGGAGAGAGGGACCCTGAGAGGGGCCCTTTCGGGCCCCCCGCTGGCTCCCGAAGGGGCCCTCAAGGGCCCCCCCTTGGGGCCCTTCTCTTCACCCCCCACGACCACCCGCCCGACTCTAAGAGGCGCGGACATCGGCACCAATACCAACACCAGGGTCTGCCTCCACAGGTGGAAGCGGGTCCTGGATGTTGGTCCTGGGGGGAATATTTCGGCCGCCTTCGAGCCCGAATCTCACCACCATCACCGAGATCGGGATCACCTCACCTTTCGGGCCGGGCGATTTGAAAATCAGCTCACGCAGCTGATTTTCCGCTGCGCCTCCCGCGCCCATGTATCAAGGAATGGGCCCGGCGGCGGGGCCGAACCCAGCTGCATGCGGCAAATTTCGTAACCCCCCCTTTCCCTACCCCCCCCTTTCGTCCAGCCCGGACCCTGGTGGAGGCACACCGCCGACACTGGTGCTGGTGTCACCCTCTAGGCCTCCGAGGCTCGCCGGCACCGGCTGGGCCCGCCCTGGGCCCAGGACCGGTGCACGCGCCCTCCCAGCCTGGGCCACACAGAGCCCTCTGGCGTGGTCTGGGCTGCCCGCGACGAGGTCGGCATAACACGGCAGCAGCACGGCAGGAGGAGTGGGCCACCAGCAGGGCAGATCTCCCGCGGCGTCGGGAGAAAGGTCGAGGCCTGGCCAATGCGTCCTGGCCTGGCCTGCGCGTAAAGTCGGCCCGTCCAGTGAGGATGCGCGATGAGGGTGCAAGGGCCTTGGACGCCCATGTCGAAGCTTCTCGAACGGGGCGCGGCCAACGAAAGTGGCCAAGGATGGGCCGTGGAGTCAAGGGTGCAAGAGTACACTTGGGAAGGTTGCCCATCCTTCCTCTGCGGGTTGACTGTAACAGTGACCCCGTGCAAGAGTGACCTTTCGCGCGCGGCTCTCGGAACGCCCTTGCAAGAAGCGCAAGCTGCCGGTGTCGCGCCGCATCGCGGATCGGCGCGGGACGCGCCTCGAAAGGCACGCCACGAGAGATCCTCAACACCAGGGGGGCCCTGCGGAAGCTCGCAAGTTCGATTCGGGCGCCCCGCATGGCGCCCCGGAGAACGCACGTACACTTAGGTCGGGCGCGGATTCTGGACGAAAAAATGGACAATCGTCAAGATACAACAACAAAGTACCAAAAATGGAAAAACAAAAAACAAAATAAATCAAAAAAAACATCGTCACCAGACGCTTTTCACAGTTTTCAATATTCCTCCTGTAGAGGGACATGCCCGGCTCAACGCCACTTCGATTCGGGCGCCCCGCATGGCGCCCCGAAGGACGTGCGCGCATGCCTCGCCCTGGCACGGGCAGGCGTGCACGCCGACCCTCGGCCCAGGATCGGCGAGGCCCTCCCGCGTCAACGAGGAGCCCCCGCGGCTCCCCGAGATTCGGGCGGGCATGTCCTCCTGCAGGCGGACCTTGGAGGACGAATGGAACATTTGCCAAACAATCTCCTTAAATGGTCCGGAATAATAGGAGAGTCGTCCCCAGACTGTACAACAACCACAATGCAGCCGTACACCCGGGGGTGCGTAGGACACCGAATTCCCGTGCAGGTGGGCACTTCAAATGCGTCCTCATTTGAGGCCAGGTGAAAGCTCCACGTGAGCAGAATTCAGACACAGATAGGGCGGAGGGAAGGAAGGGAGGAGGGGGAACGGAGGGCGGAAACAAACGAAGGGAGGGGGAGGAAGGAAAAAAAAGGGGGAGGGAGCAAACAATAATCCCCGGACTGTGCAATCTTGCATACTCCACCTGTATAAGGACACGCCTGACGTAAGGCCTGGGAGGCCAACGCGCGACAATGGTCGGTTTATTTGGACGCCCGAAATGGAGTACGGAAAGAACGGGCACAATGCCCAACAACAGATGTTGTCCCAAACCAACAGCGGCCGCTGTTTGGCAGGCGGCCTCCTGTCTTGAATGGACACAGGCCGCGGCGGCGTGGACAGCGAACCCCGTTCAAAATGAGCAAGATCCGCTGTTAGGCATCGTACCCATTATTTCCGTGCCCGTCTCGTTCGTGCAGACGATAGACTTCGGGGGGGGGGCGCTCCCGGGGCACGAGGGCGGCCAGGTGCAGGCGTCCCCGCACACTCGCTCCGCAGCTGCGGAATGCTACACATCGGTGCCTCTCCCGTGTCTAAAAAAGAGAGGGACGAAGACGAGGAGGAGGAGGACGAGGAGAGGACGAGGAGGAGGAGGACGAGGAGGAGGAGGAGGAGGAGGAGGACGAGGAGGACGAGGAGGAGGAGGACGAGGAGGAGGAGGACGAGGAAAACGAGGAGGAGGAGGAGGAGGACGAGGAGGAGGAGGATCCATCGCTGGGCATTGTGCCCAGTCTTTCCGTGCCCATTTCGTTCGTGCAGAGTTTATCCCCCCCGCCCCGGGCCGCGGCGGCCTCCGACAGCGGGGGGTCGCACGGCGGCCCTTCACTTCGGGCGGACCCTTGCGGCGAGGGACGCCGACGCTGGGGGCAGTGCGCCCCCCTTGGCTGCACGCAAGGAGTGGCCCTGGGCGACAGAGGTCTTTGGCGCGGCGAAACAAGGGCTCCCAACTTCGCGCTTCGCGCTGCGCGAAGCGCGCATAACTTTTTTGCTTTCGCGCCGCCTCCCAGGGGAGAAGAGGAGGATGAGGAATCGGAGCCGAACCGCGAAGCGCAAAAAACTTCGCGCCGTCAAGGCCGCCTTTGGCGAAAGCTCACTGTTACCTGACCCCCCCCCCCGCTCCCACAGAGACCTCCTAGATGGGGCCCGAATAAATGGGATTGAAGGATCGCGCCGCGTCGCCGATGCAGCGCCGATGCGTCGGCAATGCGTCAGCGACGTCGGCGATGCATCGGCGACGTCGGCGTGGGGAAACATGGCTTCAACATCGGGCCGCATCGCCGATGCTTCGACGATGCGGCGCGTCCTCCGACCCTATCTGCTCGAACCCCATCTAGGAGGCCTGGAACCCGTTCGTTTATTCGGGCCGATCGCGCGCGTGATCGGAAGGGGGGTCCGTCGCGCCGATCATGCCACTGCGGGGGTGCGCTTGCGGTGTTGCAACATACCGTAAGCACCGCAAGGCGCCTGCGAAAAACAATCGCCTGCGACCCGACACCCACGACGTGCCTAAGCCCGCGCTACAAAATCTTGCGATCGGATCAACGTGACGTGCCTGTGAAATCCACAACGCTTTTGAAAAGCACAACGTCCGTGAACGCCACTGCGCCCGTGAACATCGAGGCGCTTGTGAACATAACAGCACATGTAAATGCGCATCGCCTGCGCACACTACACAAGCGGAAAACGCCACAACGCTTGTGAACACCACAACGCTTGTGAATGCAGCGCGCGCGAGCACCGCAGAGCCTGGGGTCAGGCGGCACTGCGCAAGCACAAGCAGTAGCAGTAGCAGCGGCAGTAATCGAGGTAGTAGTAGCAACAGCAGTACAGGCGCAATAGTAGCGGTAGTAGCAGTAGTAGTAGTAGTAGTAGTAGTAGTAGTAGTAGTAGTCGTAGTTAGTAGTAGTAGTAGTAGTAGTAGTAGTAGTAGTAGTAGTAGTAGTAGTAGTAGTAGTAGTAGTAGTAGTAGTAGTAGTAGTAGTAGTAGTTAGTAGTAGTAGTAGTAGTAGTAGTAGTAGTAGTAGTAGTAGTAGTAGTAGTAGTAGTAGTAGTAGTAGTCGTAGTAGTAGTAGTAGTAGTAGTAGTAGTAGTAGTAGTAGTAGTAGTAGTAGTAGTAGTAGTAGTAGTAGTAGTGGTAGTGTAGTAGTAGTAGTAGTAGTGTAGTAGTAGTAGTAGTAGTGGTAGGTAGTAGTAGTAGTAGTAGTAGTCGTAGTGGAAATAGTAGTAGTAGTAGAAGTAGTAGTAGTAGTAGTAGTAGTAGTAATAGTGGTAACTGTGGGAGTTGTCGTAGTAGTAGTAGTAGTAGTAGTAGTAGTAGTAGTAGTAGTAGTAATCATAGTGGTGGTAGTAGTGGTTGTAGTAATAGAAGTAGTTGTGGTGGCAGTAGCAGTAATAGTAAAAGTAGTAGTAGTAACAGTCGTAGTCGTAGTAGTAGTAGTAGTAGTAGTAGTAGTAGAAGTAGTAGTAGTAGTAGTAGTGGTGGTAGTAGCAGTAGCCGTAGTAGCGGTAGTAGTAGTAGTAATAGTAGTAGTCGTAGTAGTAGTAGTAGTCGTAGTAATCGTAGTAGTAGTAGTAGTAGTAGTAGTAGTAGTAGTAGTAGTAGTGGTAGTCGAATGAGTAGTCGTAGTAGTAATAGTAGTGCTGGTAGTGGTAGTGGTAGTGGTAGTAGTAGTAGTAATAACAATAGTATTCGTAGTATTAGTAGTAGTAGTAGTAGTAGTAGTAGTAGTAGTAGTAGTAGTAGTAGTAGTAGTAGTAGTAGTGGTAAGAGTGGTAGTAGTAGTAGTAGTAGTAGTAGTAGTAGTAGTCGTAGTCGTAGTAGTAGTAGTCGTAGTAGTAGTAGTAGTAGTAGTAGTAGTAGTAGTGGTAGTAATAGTCGTAGTCGTAGTAGTATTGGTAATAGTAGTAGCCGTGGTAGTAGTAGTTGTAGTAGTAGCAGTAGTAGTAGTAGTAGTAGTAGTAGTAGTGATAGTGGTAGTCGTAGTAGTAGTAGTAGTAGTAGTAGTGGTGGTAGTAGTAGTAGTAGTAGTAGTAGTAGTAGTAGTCGTAGTGGTAAACGTAGTAGGAATAGTCGTAGCCGTAGTAGTATTGGTAACAGTAGTCGCCGTAATAGTAGTAATGCCAGCAGTAGTCGTAGTAGTAGTAGTAGTAGTCGCAGTAGTAGTAGTAGTAGTAGAAGAAGAAGTAGTAGTAGCCGTTGTAGTGGTACTGGTGCTTGTGACCATAACTTAGAATAGTACTACTACTGGTAATCGCAATCGTGATAGTATTAGCAAAAGTAGTAGTAATAATAATAGTAGTAGTAGTCGTAGGGGTAGTAGTAGTCGTAATAATAGTAGTACTCGTCGTAGTAGTGGTAATACAACTAATAATGATAGTAGTAGCCGTAGTCGCGAATCCAATGTTAGAAATACTTATCTTCATGGTCGAACTAGTAGTCGCGTACTACTAGTCGTAGTAGCACTGGTAGTAGCAGTGGTGAGTCTAGTAGTAGTAATAATAACCGTAGTCGTAAAACTACCAGAACTAGGAATAGCAGTAGTACTAGTATTAATAATAATAGTAGCAGTAGTAATAATGGTACTAGTACTAGCAGGAGTAATAGTAATGGTACAACTAGTAGTAATGAGACAGTATAGTAGTAGTCGTAGCAGTAGTGGTAATCGTACTAGTAGTGGTCGTAGTAGCAGTTGTAACAGTAGTAGTAATAGTAGTAGTAGCAGTAGTCGTAGGAATAGTAGTAGTAGTCGTCGTAGTAGTCGTAGTAGTAGCCATAGTAGCCGTAGTAGTAGTAGTAGTAGTAGTAGTAGTAGTAGTAGTAGCAGTAGCAGTAGCAGTAGCAGTAGCAGTAGTAGTCGTAGTAGTAGTAGTAGTCGTCGTAGTAGTAGAAGTAGTAGTAGTAATTGTAGTAGTAGTCGTAGTAGTAGTAGTAGTAGTAGTAGCAGTAGTAGTAGTAGTAGTAGTAGTAGTAGTAGTAGTAGTAGTCGTACTCGTAGCCGTAGTAATGGTCTGGCCCTGGAGCGAGCCGGTGCTAGATTGCATGTCGGAGCTCCGTAAGCAAAAAACGAGTGGTTGTTACGACATGTGTCTCATGCGCCTGGCCATCTTGCAAACGCCCCCTAAGGGCTGGGTCACCTTCCGTGGGCTTCCCCCTTGAGGGCCCCCGCGACACCCTGCGCTGCGCCCCGCGAGGCCTCTTTGAGCAGCACGGGCGTCGCGCAGCCCTCTCCACAAGGCGGGCCGCACCGCGCAGGCTGCCCACGGGGCGGACACGCTCTGGGGACAGCCTTAGGTCGGGCAGGTCTGAAGGGGCCGCAGGACACACCAATACATACACGCACATAAAAGATCCCCCATCTTTTCTTATATTTGAAGGGGTTTCGTCTTCCACCCCACTTCCCATAGTTTCCCATATTTTCTATGGAATCGACGATTAATTGTGTCTGTGTGCTGCTTTCTCTCCTGAATGTCTCCCTACAGGTGGATTTTGGACGAAAAATGAAAAATACCAAACAAAATCCTCAAACATTGTCCAAGTTACTCGAAGAATCATCCCCCGACTGTTTTTGGGTGCTATGTTTGAGTTTCCTGCTGTACTAGAGGGACATGCCCGACGTAAGGACAGCCAGGGGTGGGGCATCGAATCAGCTGCGAGCAGCTGGCTTCGCCGGGCCCTGGATGCAGGCTGCACGCAGCAACTGCCGCGCCCCCCCCCGTTCCCGATATCCCCCCCCGTCGGCCGACCCCCATCCTCTCCCTGGCCTGCAGCACCCGCGTGCGCACTCCGCATAGTGGCCGGCAGACTGCCTGCGCTGCCACCCGACGGTGACACAGCCTCGCTCACGATGCGCAGTCCTGACACTCACCCAAAAGGTACCGACACCGCGACTCCCCGAACCTCTCCAGGGGTGCATTCTTGGCAGAAGTTCGCGCCGTACCCAGCCGTGGCGATGAGGAAAGAGTAGCGGCATCGGGATGTGTTCCGCTCCTGACCCCTAACACTCAGTGACGCGAGAATGCCCAAATCCGTTGCTGAACGAGCCTTCATATGCTGCTGGCCCGATGCACAGAGAAAAGAAAAGGGATGCCTCGTTCGCGAGAGCGCACGCTGCGGCATTCTCTGGAAACTGGCGCGCGCGCGCGAAAGGAGACGCGGTCAGCCGGAACATGGATGGGGAACGTGAAGAAGGCGAGCTCGATCAGGGCCGCAAAGCGCATCCTTGCTCAAGCATCACGTGAGAGAATGTCGCACGGCAACCGTATAGCGCCTCTCAAAACGGCCGGGGCATCATGTTTTTTGTATTTGCTGTGGTCCGTTTCGAGCGAGCTTATTGCACGCTGAATTTCCAGTTGTGGCTCAACTTCCTTATCGTTTTCTGGCATTTCGCAAGTCGTTGTGCTCCATTAGGGGGCCACATGCGAACCCTACCCCTACCCCCCACGATTTCTGAGGGGGAGGGTGGGGTTCACTTCGTTCGGGAGCTCTCGAGCGAAGTGAACCCCACCCTCCCCCTCAGAAATCGTGGGGGGCAGTGGTAGGGTTCGCATGTGGCCCCCTATTCACATCCCTGCCGATTTCCGCGCAGTCATTGTTCCATGGTCAGGCCTCCGCGTGGCCCCTCGACCGCTGCCCCAATGTCATGTTGTGCTTTCAATTCGTTTCCAATACGCGATCTTAGATATAATAGGGGGAAAGCAAACCTACCTCGCTTTTGACCACCCTCGCTTCCAAGAGATACCAAGCGATGCCAAACTACGGCATGTACTGGTCAGGTCGCTTGACGAGGAGGCGCGTGGTATGACTTGGTTTTTCCTGGAAGCGAAAGCGGGGGAGGTAATTCACGCTCTGAATATAAAAGAGCTTGGCTGGTCCAGCCCCCTCCGGATCTGCCGTTTTAAGCTGTACATCATACTGTGCCGGATCTGCTGTTTTGAGCCGCCGGATCTGCCCCGTCGTCCCAGCTCACAGGGTGCACATGTTCGATTTCCCGCGAGCGACACAAAGAAATACATAGAAACACCCTGGCAGTCTGAAGTGACAACTAGGCGGGAGCCAAATTCAAAGCCTCGGTGCTGAAAGAACAGGTTGGGCTCGCAGATTCAGTGGCCGTCAAGCGCCCAGTGGCTCAATCATTGAAACCAACGGTGTGTTCGACGGAGCCCGATCGAAAAAAAAAGCAAATCTCCAGATCGGTGAGCTGTCAAATTCATCCCGAAGAGGACTCGGAATGACAAATGCAAGTGCCGAGCTGGAAGTGACCGACAAAAACAAGGAGCAGACGCTTCGATGGGGCCCGAGTGCGTCAGAGAAACTCCCGAGGACTTTGAAGAAACTTGCGTGTCCCTTGTCATCGGTTCCAGCCGTAACTCCAACTGACAGGCCCGTTACGCTTTATTGTCGTCTTCGTTGTCCTCGTACTCGTTCCTCGTTCGTGGCTCCTCGCTCCGCCCTCCTCCTTCCTCATCCTTGCACCTCCTGCCAACTTACTTATCCCTGCTTCTCCTCATTTTCCTCATCCCTTCTCTCCCTCCTCCATGTCCCTCTCCTCATTATCATCATCCGTTCACGCCTGCGCTTCTGCCTCCTTTGTTTCCTCTTGGCTGCCTGCGGAAGAAGGGCATTTCCGACATGCATCCTTCTCCTCCTTCCCTCATGCGTTTCCTCTTCCTCGTTACCCTCGTCCTCCTCGTCTTCATCCCTCGATCGCACACGTCCTCTCCAATGGACTCGGGACGACTCGGCAATGGGCAGCCAGCCAGCCAGCCAACCAGCCCCTCACCAACACCACCGCCCCGAGCCCCCCAGACCGTCTGGGACGGGGCGTCGCTGACGACTGCAACGACCAAGAAGAGGGCCGCCATCCTCCCCCCCAGCGTCGCACCTAGCCCATCGCCCTCCCTCGACGTCATCCCTCGTTTCCGTCTCGGCCTCCTCCTCCTCCTCCCCCTCATTCTCCTCCTCCTCCTCCTCTGCCCCCCAACCCTCCCCCCCTATCAGCATCCTGCTCCTATGATGCTCTTCCTCTGAGGTGGTGCAGGCGCCCAGCGGCAGAACTAGGGTCATACCCCAGCAGGCGCGGCCAACGGAACGTTGCATGAGCATGCGAAGCAGAAGTGCCATGGTTCAAGCTGAGCTTTGCAGATGTAGGCAAGTTTCGGGCGAAAGCTTGGAAACTAATTGGCAGTGTGCAATCATACTGTCTAGCGCACACTCGTGCCTTTGCTCATAGGCCTACAGACACACGGCTTCATATATTCCTACTCCCCTCCCCACGTGTTCCCGCTGCTGCTTCTCCTCCTCATCCTCCTCCTCCGCTCTCGTATGCTGTCCCTCCTCTTTCCTGACTGTGTGGCCAAGGTGGAGGAGGAGCACCAACAACGCACTCTAGACAGGATCAGCCAACATCGAATCGGGAGATCGGGTCGACTCGGAATGTGCGTCGGATCGGGCAACATCGCCCCAGGGGGGGCATCAAATCGGAACTGCTGTGTCAATGTGAACAACAGCACTACGTAAACACCGGGCAACGCCGGTTCGTCGGAATATCTGAACGAACCGATTCCTGTCGAACCGGCCGGAATCGATGTCGCGTCGGACCGGAAGGGACGCTGCTCTGGATGGCCCCCGTGCGCCAATCGCGGCGGCCTCGGTCGGCGCAGCAGGGCCGCCCAGAGGGCCTCGGTGAGCCCTGACGAGGCCCTTCAAACGCCGAGGGGGGATCGTAGCACGCCCCATCTCGCACTCGTCGGATTGCAAGAGGGGGGCGTTCAAGGGCGGGGTGCACGAATCATGGTCCGAAGCGGGTGCCGAGTCCTCCGCCACAAGAGGTCCCCAGGAGGCCAGCAGAAGGCCCAAAGAGACCCTCAAGAGGCCCCAAGAGGCCCCCAAGCGGCCTCAAAACAGCCCCCTAGAGCCATTCGAAAGACTTCTCGCGACATCCCAACGAACATGATATTCGCCGACCCCTGTTGATTTATCACAGGGGTGCCTGGCGTGCTAGACATCTGGTGGATGTTGGTGATGTTCTACAGAACTCCCCCTGCGGCTGCGGCCCAGCGCCCCGGCCACCTGGAAAGCTCATCTGGACTCGCAATGATTTTTCCGCCGCAGGCGGCTCCAAGATTGCTCCAAGGACGGCCAAGTTGACTCAAGATGGTTTCCGAGACGGTCCCAACATGCCCCCAAACACCGCCATGATGACTTCACGAGAGAGCCCCAGATGATGGCCCCAGATGGACCCGAAAAGGCCCAACATGGCCCCAGGATGGCCCAAGAGTCCGCCAGGACGTATCAAGAGGTACGCAACAGGTCGGGCGGCGCGAAGAGGCCAACATCATTGATTGCCTTTGGTTTTCGAATGATTTGGGCTGTTGCTCCGACGGCCCAAGACGCTCACCAGGATTGCCCCACGAACCCCCGACCCAGGAGGCCCCCAAGACGGCAGACGGCCCCAAGAGGGCCCCAAGATGGCCCAAGAGGCCTCCAAGACGCCCAAGATGGCCTCCAAGACGAGCCTGAAGCGCTCCAACAGGGCCCCAAGACGGCCCAGAGAGGCTCCCAAGACGGCTTCCGACGGCGTCAGACAGGCCAGGAACGCTGTAAGACGGCCAGATATGCCCCCAGGAAGCCTCCAAAGACCCCCACGAGGCCAAATGAGGCTCCAAAGAGGCCTCCAAGAGGCCCTCAGGCAGCTCCCAGGAGGCCCCAAGAATAACCCAAGAGGTCTCCTCATCTTTCTCCTCATCCTTCTTTTCCTCCCTCTTCTCATCCTCCGCCCCCACGTGTTCCCCGAATGGCTTCCACAATGGCTGGGGGAACGCACGTTCCAATAGCGTGGCCAAACTTTGCCGAAACGTTTGGCCACGTAGGCGTATCCTAAAAGGCAGGGGGCGGCGGTGATTCGCCGTAGGCGTCTTCGATCCGCCGCCCCCTGCGGTATTGCCAAAGGGTTGCACGGCGTGCCAGACGTCTGGCAGGGTTGTGGTTCTTGTCTAAAGAACTCCCCGTGGGTTCTCGGCCCAGACCGCCAGCCACCAGGGCAGCTCCTCAAACAAATCTACCCCTCGTTGGCCAAATTGCCTCCATCACGGCTAAGATGGCCCAAGATGGCTAGAGGCCTCCAAAACGGCTAATAAGGCCACAAGGGAGCTTAAGATGGCCGAACCATAACTCCAAGACGGCCCAAAATGTACTCAAGACAGCCTGGATTGCCTGAAGATGGCCCAAGACTGCACAAGAATCCCCCAAGAGACGTCCAAGACAGCCTTCCGACGGCCGAAGAGGCCACTAAGATTGCCCCAAGATCGGCCGCGAGGCCTTCAAGATGGCCCCAGGACGACCCAAAAGGCTCCCAAGGCGTCCCCCAACGGGCCACAAGACGGCCCAAGGCAGGCCCCTCAACGGCGTCAGACGGGCAAAGAACGCCATAAGACGGCCAACATTGTCCCCAAGAAGCTCCAAAAGGCCCCAAAGAGGCCCAATGAGGCCCCCAAGAGGACTCCCAGAGGGCCCCTGGCAGCTCCCAGGAGGCCCCAAGAAGAATGCAAGAAGCTCCCAAGGGGGCTCCTCATCCTTCTCCTCATCCTCCTGTGTGCCTCCATTTGATCATCATCCTCCTCTTCCTCCCCCACGTGTTCCCCGAAGGCTTCCACAACAGCAAGGGGAACGCATGGTCCAATAGGGTAGCCAAACTTTGCCTCAAACGTTTGGCCACATATGCGACAGGGGGGCGACGGTGATTCGCCGTAGACGCCTTTGATTACAACAATACGGCCCTACCATGATCAGGTGCTCATTCTGGGACCCTTCCCGGAACCACTTGCTCCACTCGTGTCGAAGCTGCGTCGAACGTCCATCGACTGGAGGCGAACTTGAGTCGAGCCAGGAGTCGAACGGACCCGCCAGGTGGGCCCCAGGAAGGTCCCCGAAACGAGCACCCGAGCATGCCATCCCCCGACCAGAGCATCACCCCCCTCCTGGCGGCTCCCGAAGCCCCCAACTCGCCATGGCTCGGGCGTCCGTTCCCCGTACATCCGTCGGTCTCGTGCGCGTTGTCTCTTGCCTTCCCTCTTTTTGCCACGACGATCCAAGATGCGCCCAGAGGGCCCTCGCCGAGAAAGAAGGCACCTGTCCGAGCGATGCCGAGCCCCTGAGAAGGCGAAACCCCACCCCCGCTCCCAGTCCCGACCCCATCCCCGCACCCGCGATCCAGGGGGTCGGGACAAGGGGCGGGGGTGTGGTTTTCAGGGTCCAGGAACGGAGAAAACCCACCCCGAACCCCAGTCCCGACCCCTTGAATCCCAGGCTCGGGGATGGGCGTCGGGACTGGGGGTGGGGGTGGACTTTCGCCTTCTGTGACGAACCAACAACACACACACTCATACCCATAGGGGGATCGGAAAGGGCTACGGGTGCGTGTTGCCGGATGGGGGTCCCCGCTCTAACGGGAGCGTCCCCCAGGGCCCGACAACCCGCACCCATACCCATAGCCAGTCCTCCTCCCAACGACCTCCCTATGGGTAACCCCAGGAAGCATTTAAGAACCCCCCCGGCGATATCGTAGCACCGCATTTTTTATTCGATATTCCTAAGGGCCGAAATAACCGAACGATAGCTGTAGCACCCGGACACGATGATGATGATGATGATGATGATGATGATGATGATGATGATGATGATGATGATGATGATGATGATGATGATGATGATGATGATGATGATGATGATGATGATGCGGATATGGATGATGGTGCGGAAGGGTTATCGATTTGCCGGAGGGGGGGGGGGGGGGTTAAATGCTTCCTGGGGTTATGGGTGTGTGTTGTTCGTTCGTCATTCTGACCCTCTTGGCGGCTCCCGAAGCGCAGGCCCCCCCTCGCGCCCCTGCGGCGGGGGGCCTCGAACTTGATGGCCACCGACCTCCCAGTCCTGCGTCGGCCCCGCGGGGGGGGACTGCACGCGGAGGCGCAGGACAACGGGAGGGGTGGAACGGCACCAGCACGGCACGGGAGGAGGAGGAGGAGGAGGAGGAGGAGGAGGAGGAGGAGGAGGAGGAGGAGGAGGAGGAAGAGCGGGAGGGGGAGCGGGGGAGGAACATCGACGAAGACAGATGGTGCTGCCCCTGGAGCCCCCCAGAGGCCCCAGAGGGACCTCCAGAAGGCCTCCAGAGGCCTCCAAAGGCGCCAGGGAGGCATCTCGAGAAACCCTCAGATTCATTCCGATGACTCCTGACCGAAGATATACATTCCACGATCGTCTCAACCACTCACTCCTTGTGGGGGTCGGCAGAATGGCGTAAGCCACTTGAATTATGCTGCCGGAGTTCCCCACATAGTGGTGATAAGGGCTTCGCATAATCAATGAGGCAGTTAATAGTAGCAACATGGATGGAAGGCCCATCGCAAGAGCACGCACACACATAAGGGAAAACGAAGGCAAAGGATGGGCGTGAAAAGCGGGATAATATGGTGCTCAGATACCCTGCCGCGGTACATGTTCGATCCGCGCGGGTATGCTGACTCGGCGCTGGGGTCTCCCTGGCGGCGCGTCTGCCGCAGTCACATGGCGCGCTCCGCGCTCCAGGGGGGGAGCGTGCAGTGCCGATCCGCGCAGTCCGCGCAGCCCAGGGCGATCCGAGCAGTCCGAAACTTGAGTTGATGCCGCTGTTTCTTTTTCGAGAATATGAGAGAGGAAGGGGGAGGAGGAGGAGGAGGAGGAGGAGGAGGAGGAGGAGGAGGAGGAGGAGAGAAGGAGGAGGAGGAGGAAGAGGAGGAAGGGGTTCTGATGCGTCCAGGGGTGCCCATGTTCTTCTACAATGCCCTGAAAAGAACGAGGAAGGTACTGGAGGTCCCAAAATTAGGTGGTGACGGCCCTCGCGGTGACCTTGAAATCCCAAAAGATCCAACCACGCGATCCGTCACCGCACGGTCTTGGGACCGCAGCGGCCCAAGCCGCCCGAGACTTCCTCGGAGAACGACCCGAGTCACAAAACCGTGCGGTGACCCCGAACCCTCACTGACTCACCACGCGGTGTGGTCTGGTCAAAAACCGCTTGAGCGCCGCAAAACACAGGTCTCACGCGACACGACATGGCGAACTCACGCCGCGACCTACGCGGGCAGACAGCGCGGCACGCCACGCTGGAAGCGAGGGCGCTCACGCGCGGCTTCACGCGGGCAGCCTGCGCGCGAATGCCGGCGCGGCCGATCCGTTTCGGTGCGTCGCTCGTCTGGAGGCCCCCGAAGGAAGGGGGGCACTGTCCTTGCTGCTCGGGGCGAATCGGCGGGGCACCCGTGGCTAAAAGCCAGTCCACTGCTCCGCGCACAGCGGCCGACGCCGAGCCGCCTGGGGGGGGGGGGGGGAGGGGCGCGCCGCGGCACGGAGGCAGGCGAGCCCGCGCAGGCTCCGCACGCGAGGCCGGGCGCCGAAGCGCCGCCGCTCCCGCCGATGACACAACCATCAACTTTCGGAGGTCCGCGCGGATTTCTCGGATCGGCGCTGGGGCCCCTGGCGGCGCCTCCGACGCCGCCCCGCGCGCCAGGGGGGGGTCAGCGAAGATCCGAGAAGTCCGCGCGGCCCTTTGAAAATCGTTGTTCCTGCCATGGCCTGGTCCCCGAAATCAGCCAGGCCCAGCGAAAAGCCAGTTCGGCCGATTTGGCTAAGCCTCGCTGCAATTTCTGCTTGGGGACGTCCCAAGCCAGGCTCAGCCCAACAAGAAAGGAGCCCAGGGACACACACAAATAAATACGCACAAATACCAATACTCCCTATATTGTTTCATCTTTTCTGGATTTTCGTCTGCCCCCCCAGTTCCCATATTTTCCCGTGTCCTCCTGGGAATCGACGATCAATGGTGTCTGTGTTTTTTCCACTCCTGAGTTCTGGCTGAGCCCCACATGCGCTGAACCCCGTTGCGTGCGCCTCGAAGGGCGAGCGTCAGGGGGGGACCGGCTCCTGGGGGAAACCACGAGCCGAAGATCGGCAAGACATCGCCGATGGATCGGCGATGGGCCCTCGATAGCGAATCCGCACGTTCCTGGGTGGCGTGGGTTATCCGGCCGCTGTCGGCGAGGAGTGAGCGATTAGGTTAAGTCGGGCCTGTCCCCCTACAGGGGGATTTTCGACGAAAAATAATAAATACCCCAAAAATGCCCCAAGAAGGTCAAACAATACTGAAAAAATAGTCCCCATACTATTTTTGGACTATCTTTCGACTATTTTCCTGGGATTTTCTATTGTTCGTCGAAAATCCCCCTGTAGGGGGACAGGCCCGACGTGAGATTGGGGGTCGAGGCGTCCCCGTCCCCCTTGACGTGGCGCCCCTCCGCATCGAGCCCCCTCCGAGACCGGACTTTCGACTGTGCCCAGGAGGGTGCCCCCGACCCCCGACCGCGCTGGGTGCGAGTCAGACAGCCTCCCGAAGGGGGTAGGTGCTGCGACCGGGGGGAGTCTTTCGGGGAGCGGCCCGTGCTCGAGCGCTGGGAGCAAACGTCCACCGCGAACTCTCACCCGCACCCCCGCCCCTGATGGCGGCACCCATTCTGCCAGTGATGCCCGCGGGTGCCGCGCGGTGCTCCTCTTGTCCTTGCCAACGTACACGGCCCCGAAGCACCCCGCGCCGAGCTGCTCTGCGACCTCTCAGAGGCCAAGCCGGGGGGGAGGGGGGGGGGCGGGGCAGGACGAGAGGGGGGAGCGGGACGCGCAATGAAAGATGGAGAGATTTTGGGCGGGGAGGTGTCACGAAACAAAACTTGCGTTGGCCTGTTTCTCCGTGTCGCGCCGAACCTCTTGTCTACGAGTCACGCTGGCCGCATATCCGTCCCCCGCGGAAGGTAGCGAGCAACAATCAGGAATCACCATCACTCATCATCATCATCATCATCATCATCATCATCATCATCATCATCATCATCATCATCATCATCATCATCATCATCATCATCATCATCATCACTCCCCATCACCAACCGCCATCACAAACCATCATATAGCATCGTCATGGTCGGCACCATAATCAACATCAAACACACCATCACCATTACCATCACCATCACTTGCACCATCAACATTGCCATCAGCATCGCAATCGCCAGCACCATCACCAACACCAACACCATCAACATCATAATTGCAATCGCAATCACCATCGCCATCACCGTCACAGTCATTATCATCATCAGCAGCATCATCATCACCATCACCACCATTATCATCATTACCATCATCATCACCACCCTCCTCATCCTCATCCTCATCCTCCTCACCATCCTGTTCATAATCATCAGCATCAGCAGCATCATCAGCATCAGCATCAGCATCAGCATCATCATCATCATCATCATCATCATCATAATCATCATCATCATCATCATCATCATCATCATCGTCATCACCATCACCATCATAATGGTGATCATCATCATCATCATCATCATCATCACCATCACCACCACCACCACCAATACCACCACATCAATCATCATCAGCAGCAGCATCCGCATAAGCGTCAGCATCAGTATCATCATCACCACCACCATCATCAGTATCAGCATCAGCAATATCAGCATCAGCAATATCAGCATCAGCATCACCATCGGAAACATCATCACCACCCACCAACAGCACTCATCGTGGCTCCAGGGAGGGACGGGCGAGGACAGCAGAGACTCCCCCGCAGGCCTCGGAGGCCACCGCCAGGCGCGCCAGCGCAGGCAGGGCAGCGGGGGAAAAGTGAGAGCGACAGGACCAGCTCCCGCGAGGGGGAGCTGCCTGGCGCTCGCGTGGCCCAGCGGCCCGGCCGGAGCATGACGCAGGCGGGGCAGCGCCGCCGCCGCGCGCCCCGCGTGGCGGGCGCGGCGCTGCGGGTGGGCGCCGCACGTCTGCCCCCCGCGGGCGGCCGGCCACCTGCTCCTGGGCGCTCCGCGCGCGTGGGGGGCCGCGAGGCGGCGTGGCGGGCGGCCGTGCGGCGGCGCCTGCTGGAGCGCCCGGTTGCCCGCGCGACCAGTGCACCCGGTGGGCTGCCCGACGGCTGACCTGGGCAGCCGCGGTCCCGCGTGCTCGCCCTGGCGCGCTGCTCGTCTTTCAGAGTACGTCCTCCTCCTCCTCCTCCTCCTCCTCCTCCTCCTCCTCCTCCTCCTCCTCATCCCGCTCCGGCTCCTCCGCGCTCCGCGTGTCACCCGTTCTCGGAGCACGGCTCTCTATGGATGGTTCTCAGAAGAGCGCCCGAGGAACAAGATTTGACGTGGGCACGGGTAAGGAAAGCGCCGCTGCTCCAATCGGCGGACTGTCCAGGAGCAACCTTAGGGGGGAGGCGCGCTGTTGCGCGCCTCGCGTGCCGCGGCGGCAGCGCACTGGCTACGTACACGCGCGCCGAAACGTCGGGCCCTCACGCAAGCCTGGCATTTTTGGTCAGGGCCGTCACGAGCCACCGGAGCAGCCAGAGGGGCTGGCAGTCCCTGGTTCTTTCTTGCCGCTGTTCTTGCCGTCTGCTGGCAGGCCAGGAGAAAGGAGGCGGAATCACTTCCGGCACGAGGAACGACGACGCGGAGGCAGCGACACTGCAGTCTGAGGCATCAGGGCGGGGTTGCACTGGCCTCCCCGAGGCCTCCTCGAGGCCTTCCTCTTTTAACCCTTCTCGTCCTTAAGGCCTCCCAGAGGCCTGCCACGAGGCCTCCTCCTCCGCCTCCTCCTTCTTCTCCTTCTCCTCGAGGCCTCCTCCTCCTCCTCATCCGTCTCAGGGCCACGGTACAAGCAGACGTGCGCCGAGAGGCGGCGCGCGTCGCTAGGGGTGCGCTGCCCAGAAAAAACAGCCAGTGCGGAGCCGCCTCGACAGGAGCCCCTGGCGCGGGTGGCGCGGGTGCGGACAACTGCTCGCCCCCCTCTATTCACCGCCCCTGTCGGGCGCTGCCCAATGACAGGGCAACAGGAGGGGGGCGAAGGAAGGTGCATCTTTCGTTGGCCTTCGGGGCCCTCGGGGGGGGGACCCTGATGGGCCCCTTCCTCCGCCCCTCACCGCCCGTCCAGTTCAGTCCAGAAGCCTTGCGCCGGCCACAGCGATTGAGCAATGGGTGAGCATGTGCACGGGTTCGGATGCCTTCAGCACGCCGCCCATGCCTTGACCGCCGGCTCCCACCTGCGAGCTGCACCGCTCTGTCGGCGGAAATGGTCGGCGGAAGTGGTCACCGCCACCTCCCCATTTACCGCTCCCAACGTTAGGATAAGCTCGTCCCTGGACCTGGACCCCCTGCAGCTGGGTCAAAAACACTCCTGCGCACCCCCTCCAGAGGCTCACGGCGAAGCTCCACACATTCCTCGCGGTGTGTCCACTCGGCGGCGCGAGCAAGGAGGGTGGCGGTGGGGAGGGGTCACGGGTGCAGGCAAGGAGGGGGGGGCAGTCTGACGTGAGCCATCCCAGACTGGACAGGGCAGGGCCTCTCTCGCCCTCGCGCAGCTTCGCCTCGCCCACATGCGCGTGAAACGCGACGCAAAGAATTCCCGGTGGGGGGGTCTCCGCTTCACTTCGGTCTCACCCCCCAACCTCCAATCCTGTCCGTTATTCGCGCCGATGCGCATGGGCCATGGCCCGCGCGTATTCCAGCGTTCTGATTGCGGAAACAATCCAGCCCGCTTCTAGTGCAAGAGTTTGAGCTAGGATGTGGGCTGGATCTGCTTTCCTATCCTCCTCCACCCCAGGCCCCGAACGTCGCGAATGCTTCTCAACGTGAATCCTGGGATGTCTGGTTGTTTTCGGAAGAGGAGGAGGAAACGGGCGACGAGGAGGAAAAGGAGGGGAGGGGAGAGGCAGGAGGGAGTGGAAGGGAGGGGGAGTGAAGAGGAGAAGTGAGGTCGAATGAGTAGGAGGAGGAAGAGGAGGAAAAGTAAGTACCCCATGCCAACGTTCGACGATGACGCCAGGCCGTAAAACCCTGGCCCCTGGCGGCCGATCGGGACGATTCGGGCATCCCCAGGACGCTCTCGGTAATGCCCAGCCTCTGGAAAGTAGCACGTGGCTGGCAAACCATTGGGATCATGCGACAAAACAAATTTCGAAAGTCCCCCATTCAGACGAAGCCACGACGATGATACAATCAGGTGAGGATCCGGCGGCTCTGAAGATGTCTCGGACGCCGCGGCCTTCCCAGAGCGTTCCAGAACGCTCCGAGAGCGTTCCAGAAGGCTCTGGAACGGATTGATCCTCGTCCTGGAACCGTCCGATCACGGGGCTGGCACACTTCCAGGCACCTGTATCGCCTTCGAAAGCCTCCCATCTCGGCGACATCCGAACCCTACCCCCACCAACCAATCGATTGGAGGCGGGGGTAGGGTTCGCATTCCGCCGCGTGCTCGACACAATCAGAACCCGACCCGGCGAGGGTGGAGATCGGATTTTGCCGCCGACTGTCCCGCCTGAGAATCCCCTCTCCCTCCACAAATGATGGGCCTGTTTTCCACCACCACCACCAGAAGTTGGAGGGGGAGGAGGAGGAGGAGGACGACGACGAAGAGGTGGAGGAGGGCGAGGACGAGGACGAGGAAGAGGACCCCCTCCCTATCCAACTTATGGTGGTGGTGGTGGAAAACAGGCCCATGAACAAACGTACGCGCCCGGCTGCACATCCGAACGCGGCCCCCCCCCGTCCGCGAGTCCTGCCTCGTCTCACAGACGTCCGTGCGGCGCGCGCCCTCGGAGCCCGCCAAACCCTGTGCTCGCGCACGCTTTGAAGGGGCCCCAGGACACACACATAAATACACACGAATAAAAAGATTCCCCATCTGTTCCAATATTTTCTGGGTTTCTGTCCCCCGCCACTTCGCATATTTTCCCAGGAAGAGAGCCCGAAACTCCATGCTGCAGTGGGTATGGACAGAAGTATTGCCCGCGCGATAAGCCCCCGATGAGGAATCCGCACGGTCCTGGGCGGGGTGGGCGATCGGGCCCCTGGCGGCGACGGGTAGGCGACTGGGGGTCGGTTCGTTGCTCCCCGTCGGCGCCCCGGGGTCCTCGGGCCACGACACGGCTCTCCGGCGGCCGTCCGGGAGGACCCGGCGTGCCTGGCATAGGGGTCGGGGGCGAGCAGACGTGGATTGGCCATCCGTGGATTTGGCGCGGGGTCGCCAAAGCCATGGATCGGGGAAGGTGCCCTCCCCAGGGCCCTCGCCGGGGAAGGTGCCCTCCCCAGGTGCCCTCCCCAGTGCCTCCTCCTCGCCCAGCGGCGGAAATCCGCGATTTCCCACGGGAACGGGACCCGTCGCTAATCCACGCCCCCTTGATCTATGTTTGCGATCGCCTGAAGGAGGACGAGACGTCGACATGAACAGAAACTGTCGGAGCTCCGCGCGGATTTCCTGGATTTGCGCTGGGCCCTGTTCCCTGGCGCGCGGAGCGCGCCAGGAGCGGCAAACTCTACACCCTAAACCCTAAACCCTAAACCCTAACCCCTAAACCCTAAACCCTAACCCCTAACCCCTAACCCCTAAACCCTAAACCCTACACCCTAAACCCTGAACCCCAATTAATTGGAGGCGCCGCCAGGGTCGGAGCTCCGAAAGGCTTTGGCTATGCTGCGCTCACCTCTTCGGTGAACGCCCTCGGCGAGGCGCAGCCGCGGGAGCGCACCACGAGGCCAGAGAGCACGCGAGGACCGACGACAACGTTGAAGAGCCCACAGCTTCGACGCCCCCCCCCTTGAGCCTGGGGAAACCAACAGATATTGCTGCTCCCCCGACCTCTCCCAGGGTGCGTTCTGACCCGAATCTCGAGGCGACTCCAGCGGTGGCGACGAAGTCCTCCCAGGAGGCCCGCCACCATCGCCACCAGAGAGCCAAGCATCCACCGGGACGCGTGGGAAGAAGAGCGCGCAATTGGCAACCCTTCTGTAATCCCACCAGCCCTTTGGGCGTGAATGGTTTAAGGAGCTCTCTCTGTTCTCAACCCCCCTTCTTCCCCTTCGGGGAGGGGTTTACCCCTCCCCCTCCCCCCTCCCCCTGGGCCTGGAGAGGGACCCCCGCGCGTCGCCAAGGGGGACTCCTGGGAGGGCCAAAAAACGACGACCCTCACGAGGATTCTGGCCCCGACGGGGGGACGCAGTTTGGCCCCTCTGCTCGTCTTTGAAGCCAAAAACATTGATTTTACTAGGGTTTTGGCCCCATTTTGGCCTCCTGAGGGGGCCGCGCTCATCTTCCTTCATAGCAAAATCATTGATTTTACAAAGGTTTTGGGCTCATTTTGTCCTTCTCAGGGGGCAGCCCTCATTTGCGCTTCTGAGGAGGTCGCAAGAGGCCCCAACATGGCCTCAAGAGGCCCCCAGGAGGCTCCCAAGAGGCCTCCAAGAGGCCCCCCAGAGGCCCCCAAGCGGCCCCAAGAGGCCCCCAAGAGGCCCCCAAGAGGCTCCCAAGAGGCCCCAAGAGGCCCCAAGAGGCCCACAAGAGGCTCCCCAGAGGCCCCCAAGAGGCCCCCAAGAGGCCCCAAGAGGCTCCAAGAGGCCCCCAAGAGGCCCCACGAGGAGCCCGAACGACTCACACCAGGACGAGGGGCCCGAACGACTCACACCACGAAGAGCCCGAACGACTCACACCACAAGGAGGGGCCCGAACGACTCACACCAGGACGTGCGCCCGAACGACTCACACCACGAGGAGCCCGAACGACTCACACCACGACGCGGGCCCCGAACGACTCACACCACGAGGAGCCCGAACGAGTCACACCAGGAGGAGGGGCCCGAACGACTCACACCAGGATAAGGGGCCCGAACAACTCACACCACGAGAAGCCCGAACGACTCACACCAGGACGAAGAGCCCGAACGACTCACACCACGAAGAGCCCGAACGACTCACACCAGGAAGAAGGGCCCGAACGACTCACACCAGGACGAGAAACCCCAAACGACTCAAATCACGAGGAGCGCTTTCTCTCCCTCCTCCTCCGCCTCGTCCTTCTCCCGCTCCCCCCACAAGGAGGATGTACAAGGAGGCGGGGGCGGGAGGAAGGAGGAACTGGGGAGATATGCGGGGCCAAGCGGACACACGCCTGAAAAACACGACTGTCGGCATGCTTCGCAAGAGTTGCTGCTGTGAGATGGGCTGGTGGGGATACGCGAAGCGTAAAGAATTACTGAAGGAGGAACGGCAACCAGAACGCCCCACGACCACGAAGCGGAAAGAGAAGCGCCCGACTGTAAGACGAGGAGAAGGAGGATAAAGAGGAGGAGGAAGAGGAAGAGGAGGGGATCCAGCCCAGGAGGCCCAAAAAAGGGAGAGCGAGGGAGGAGCATCGATCTCAGAAAGTCCGCTGACATCTCGTCGGCAGGCGCCGGGGCGAGCCTCGCCCGCCAGGAGAGAAGGTCCCGGGATCCTTGCGCCCAGCGGCCCTCGCTTTTGTCGGACGCTGGCGGCGACCTTGATGAAGCCTTCTCGATTTCAGGTCTGGGAGGAGGAGGAGGAGGAGGAGGAGGAGGAAGAGGAAGGAGGAATGAGGAGGAGGGAGTAGGAGGGAGGAGGAGGGAGGAGGAGGGAGGAGGAAGAGGCGGAGGGAGCGGAGGAGGAGAAATAGGAGACCCAGAAGGGGGAAACGTACCGGTAGAGCAACCTGAGTGCCTTTTCCTCCTCTGACCCGCTGCCCCTCTGCGACGACGACGACGACGACGACGACGACGACGACGACGAGGCGGCGCGGCGGCCGCTCGGCCGGAGGCGTGGCGCCTCGAAGCGGCCGCCGGCCAGCTTGGAGGGAACATTGAGCTCCATCCTGGGCGCACGGGCGGCCGCTCCCGGCACGAGGCCAGCACGCGCGCGCGCCGCTGCGTGCGGACGGGGTCTGGCTGCGGCGGGCCTCCTCCTCCGCCTCCTCCTCCTCCGCCTCCTCCTCCACCTCCTCCTCCTCCTCTTCCTCCTCCTTCTCTTCCACCTCCTCCTCCTCTTCCTGTTCCTCCTCCTCCACCTCCTCCTCCTCTTCCTTCTCATCTTCCTGCTCCTCTGCCCCCCCATTCTCCTCAAGACTGTCAGGGCCCAACAATGACGTTGATTCGCTGTGTTGAAGTCTGGGGAATGGCGTTCTGGCACGCTTCAGGACCGTCAAGACGCAACAGTCACGTTGAGTTGTGGCGTTGAAATCTCGATCATGGTGATTTGGCACGCTTGAGGATCTTCAAACGGCTGTCCTTCAACGGGCCACTTCCCTCGGTGGAAATGAACCTTGTAGGGGCCTATGAAGAGGGAGCGGCTGCTGTGCGAGATACTACGAACCCGACACTTGAGCCTCGGATGGACGCACTCGCATCGTGTGTCTCGAAACGCTCGTCGCTGCGGCGGCCCGTGCTGGGACCTCTAGCCTCTAGCCACAATGGCGGCCGTGCGCTGCATCGGCGCCGCTCGCTCGAGGCGGGCGGTCAAGCGAGGCAACTCGGGAAGGCCCCCCCCTGGAGGCCCAAAGCTGCCACACCCATCGAAATATCCGCGGCGACCTGCTTCCACGACGCGAGAGAGCCTGGGAGCCGACCCGCCACAATCGGGCGGAGCTGTGCTCCTGACCCCGTGAGGTTACCCCTCGAATCGACGATGGGCTCCAAAGAGGTGCGCAATCGACGGGCAACATGGGCCAGGCCCTCTGCGGCGCTGGAGAAGAGGAGGGGGAGATGGAGGAGGAGGAGGAGGAGGAGGAGGAGGAAGAGGAGGAGGAGGAGAAGGAGGAGGAGGAGCAGGAGGAACAGGAGGAGGGAGGTAGGGTGGAGGGCCCCTGGCTGACGCTACGATCCCTGACGAGCTCGACAACTTGCCTTAAAAAAAGGCCGCCCTTGGGCCTTGGGGTTCTTAACGGAGGAGGGGGGGGGGGGGGGCGAATCAGCTCACGCGGTGGGCGAGTTCCCTGGACCCCCCCGACACGCTGGAGGCACCGGTGTGCCGAGGAACGCGCCCGGAGGTCGGGCCGAAACCAGCGACATGCAGCAAACAATTTCGTGACCCCACGATTTCCCTCCCCCCCCCCCCCCCCCCCGCACCCCCCAAAGAGGGGGGTAGCGACCACGGGCCCAATCCAAAACGTGCGATGCCCTGATGTCTTCGATCCGCGGTCCCTGGAAGTCCCGATCGCTTGCCCTGGGCCAACTCGTCATCCCGGGCGGTTCTTTGACGATCTCGCGAGGCCCAGCGAGCCCCCCCCCGAGGCCGAAAACGGCCAAAAAAAAACCCGCTGCGATTGCCACGGCATCACCATGTCAGTTTATGCCAGTTTCTGGGCCGTCGCTCGGGCCTCCAGCGGCCGATCGGCACGGCCCTGGCAGCCCCGGAGCGCTCCCGACGAGGCGCACAGATGCTGCACCGCATCCCGAGGCGAGAAATACTCCAGGAAGGGACAAACATTTTTTTACAGACGCAGTCACTGCACGAGCATGTCTGGGGCTGTGGGAGCGGCGCGCGCAAGGGGGTAGGGCCTAGGGGGACGGCTTCTTAGGAGGCTGCTTCTTAAGAGGCGCTGGCTTGGTGTGCAGATATAAGGCCCGCGCCTTCTGAGAAGCAGGGGTGTTCCTAAGAAGCCTTCCCCGGTCCCCATACCCCCCTCGGTGCGTGGCCGAGCACTTGAGCAGGGACAGACTGGCCCGGCATTCCTACAGACCGTCCGCGACATTTCTTGAAACCCGCAAGTGTTCAAATCACAACACATTCCGCCGACCCTGTGTCGGCGTGTGTGAGGGTTTGTCCGTTCCCGTCGTTCGTTCGTCGTCTCCGTCGTCTCCTGTCCCTGCGCCCACCGCTTCCCTGGGCCAATCGATCCCTGCACCCCCCCTTTCCCTGGGCCCGTCGATCCTCCCCCCTTGCATCCTCTTCCCTGGGTCCGTGTCCGCCGCCGCTCCCCCGCCGTTTTTTCCAGGGCCTTCCCCTCAAAATCAACGTTGTCATTGAGCCTCCGAAGGGGAGCCCATTCCTTTGATCCCTCCCCCGCCGGGGGGGGGGCCGGGGGGAACCCCCCCCTCATGCAGATGCGACTCCCTCCGGCGCACGCAAAGCCTCAGACGGGCCAAGGGCCGAGGCATTCACGCCCCCGCCCTGGCCCTGGCCCTGCGGCCTCCGCCTCGGCCGGTCCCGGCCCCGGCCCGAGTCCCAGCCCCGGCCCCGGCCCCGATCCCAGCCGGCCCCGGCTCCCGCCCCGCCGGCCCCGGCCCCGGACCCAGTCCCATCATCGGCCCCGTCCCTGGCCCCGGCCCTGGCTCCCGGCCCGCTCCGGCCCCGGCCCTGGCCCAAGTCCCGCCCCCAGCGCCTTCCAAATCTAACTACACCTCCGTGGCCTCCCAGATGCCCAAGATGCCGAGCTCAGCTTCGGAACAGCGAACGAAGCCTGGAAGTCGCCCCAGGAAGGCTCCAAGACGCCCCGAATGGTCCTGATAGGCAACCGGCGTCGTCGTCAACATCGTCAGCATCCTCGCCATTATCTCCCTCCTGACCGCCACGCTCTACTCGCCCTTGCCCTTCCTTCGTGCCCCCCCCCCGCGACCCTGCTCGCCTCACTCTCCTTCTATTCATTCAACCCCTGTGCTCCTACTCCTCCTCATCCACCTCTTCCTCCTGTCCCCCTCCTCATCTTCCTCCCCATGTTCCGCGCCCTCCTCCCCAACCTCAGGGTCGGCGGCACCGGCAGTAAGGCCTTCGCTAAACTCTTAGAACATGCAGTAGGGGCCCGACATCAAGAAACCTTCCACAAGACACCCAACCCTGAGACCCCAGGACGTCCAGCGATTTGTAGTGTGAGAACGTCACGCCCTCCACGGCAAAGCCGTCGACACCCGAGAAACCACCCAGGGCACCCTGGAGGCAAGCAGGGCGTCTCCTGGCATGGGCCTCCACTGTCACCAAAAACAATGTTCTTGGAGCATCGGCCCGAAGTGCTTAAACAGGACAGTCTCGGCGCGCGGCCGAGCCTGCCTGAAGGGGCTCGAGGACACACATACATAAAGACACACACACAGACACACAAAAAACACTCAAATCCCAGGAGGGACCACTTGCTCCCATATCTTCTGGGCGTTCGTCCCCCCCCCACCTCCCACAATTTCCCATCTTTTCGTGGAAATCGACGATTCATTGTGCCTGTGTGCTTTTTTGGGCGCCCGAAATGGGTACGGAAAGAATGGGCACAATGCCCAACAACAAATGTTGTCCCAAACCAACAGCGGCCGCTGTTGGGCAGGCGGCCTTCTGTCTCGAATGGACACAGGCCGCGGCGACGTGGACAGCGAATTCAAGATGAACTGGAACTGCTGTTGGGCATTGTACCCACTCTTTGAGCAGAGACCGACCGTCCCGGCATTCCTAAAGTCATATCACGACTTGTTTGTAGAATCCAACAATGTTCTAAGAACAAAAACAATGTTCTTAGAACATGATGTGTTGGAACAAGACAGTCCCAGTCAGAAATGTTCTAGGAGCATTTCGTGGGAACCACAACAGGTTCTCAGAACACTGCTTGGTGGGGCTAATCATCGGCAAGCCGGGACGCTCCGCCACTGCTGGAAAACTCTTTCCGTACCCATTTCGGGCGTCCAGACGTGTGCTTTGAACCCCCTCCTGGAATGCCCAACTGGGCATCGCTCGGGCGTCCATTCCCTGTCTTTTTTTCGGTTTCGTGCGTGGCTTCTTCGCCAAATGACCAAGGATGCTCCTCGATGGTCCTCGCCGAAGGAAAGATGCACTCGTCCGAGCGATGCCAAGCTAAGGGCCGTGGCCGCTCGCCTCGCGCGCGGCGGCGCGCGGAGGCGCCTGCGCCGGCGGCGCCGTCGGCGCGCGGCCCGGGCCGGAGGCCGCCGCCGTGGCCGCGGCTCGCGAGCCGCGCCGCCGCGGGCGGGGCTCGGGCCGGCTGCGCCGGCGGAGGGCGCGGGGGGCGAGAGGTGGGTGTCTTGCTAGAAGTATAGCCCTGGCCCAAGGCCCCCCCAGGATTCTCGGGGTGGCCCAGAGGGCCTCCATGGGCACCCCTCACGAGGCCCAGGGGGCCCCAGGGGTTCCAAAGTATAGTGTGGGAAGCTGGGGGCACCTCGGGCCGGGGGCGGGAGACGCGCCGGGGATCTTCGGGGAACGAACAACGGCATAGACATGAACACTCGGAGGTCCGCGCGGATTTCTCGGATCGACGCTGGGCCCTCCTGGCGGCGCCTCCGGATCCGCCGCTGGCGCGCTGCGCGCGCCAGGGAGGGGGGTCCAGCGCAGATCCAAGAAATCCGCGCGGGAGTCCAAATTGTTATGTTTATGTCATTTTTCGTTCCCCTAGATCTTCTGACCCGGGTCAGTCCAGACCTTGGTCAGTCAGCCCCTGCAAGATCCTGCAAGATCCTGCAAGAGCCTGCACGCAAGCCCGGGCAAACGCGAAGGGTCCTGCAAGAGCCTGTAGGATATCCTGCCACCAAGCCCAGGTCAATGCGATCCTGGCCCCGCAGGATCCTGCAAGATCGGACGTTCTGGCTGACCCCCGTTTGGATTGACCCCCGTCTCAAAAATCCCGAGAGTTCGGTGGTTCCGACCAAGGCCGGGCGTGGTGTGATGATGGTAACCGCAGTATATGACATCAGAAATTCACGAACCATAATTTCCAACATATCCAGTCTGCGAACGCATCCAGCGAACACGGCACAGCGAATTGCAGGAGAGCGCGAGCCACGCGTTCCCACACCACCGAACCCTACATCGCCGTTGCCTACATCGCCGTTAGCCCGTCTACGGGTTCAGATAAGGGGTCCTGAAGGACGGGGGCCTACAGTCAAAAC